GTGGTTGTGGTTGTGGTTGTGGTTGTGGTTGTTGTTGTTGTTGTTGTTGTTGTTGTTGTTGTTGTTGTTGGGACTGTGGTTTTTGTTGGGACTGTGGTTGTTGTCCCAGTTCTTCTGAGACTTTTAGTGCATGACCATCATCATGACATCACCCGCAGCGAAATGAGTCCGGATTGTGTTCCACCACCAGGGCCACCAGGGCCCCAAACTGCTTATCTTCCTTCCACTGGCCCTCATAGCGCGAGCCGTCAGCGTGTTGGTACCTCAGGCTGACGATGCTCGACTTCATCAATCCCAGTTGAAAACATGAAGGGCACTGCTGGACCAATCACATGAAGGGAATCAATGAAAAACCTTTGGACCATGAGGATTCCTACCACTGGATGCAGTAAGTTGCTCATGCTTTTCACCAGTGGTATCTCTTTTTACTGGATAGCTTCAATGATTCCAGCTTCCGGATCCACTTGCACTCCAGTGGGAATCAGCAAGCAGTTCAGTTCAGCCCTCTGAGCCATCTGAGTCTCCGAGCATGCCCTGGCCATGCGCCTTGTCTGCCTGCCACTGGCCTTCGTAGACCTCGGATCGACTCGGTGAACGTCGAAACTGCAGTCCGATTGCATGAGTCCGGAAGATGGATAAGGTGACGCTCCGTGACCAGGGCTGGTCTGCCAGTCTCTAAAGTTTTTGGGGAGCGGAAGCTTGCCAGCTGGTCTTGGGTTTGGGGGTTCTGTCGAAAAGAAACTATGCACTGGGTGGGGGTTCAACCAGTGGCATCAGGAAAGGGATGGATTTGAAGGAATCCACCTGTGAGCTCATAGTAGGGATGGCTTCCCCCCTAGTAGGGATGACCTCCACCCTACAAGAAAATAGTTACTAGTTGCATGATGCTAATGATGTTGCATGCCTGGATTCCCCTGTTTCAGACACACGGAAGTGGTGCATGCCTGAAGCGGTTCTCGTCCCTTGCCTGGGTAGCTCCCCGTATTTTCACATGAGATGCTTCTCTTTTACTAGGAGCATCTTACCCTTACTACAGCACCAGCGCAAAGATTCTTGGGACAACAGCCCCTTGAAGCGGGTTGGCCAATTTGCTTAAACTGACCCATCTCCCCCGCCAAATCCCTCCACAGCTAAACCTTCTTCTCCCCGGCAAGGGATTCGCGCCAAGGCACATCTCCGTCCACGTGTTCGAAGCGGCCCTGGCCGTGTGCCTTGTCTTTGACCTCAACGAGGGGCAAGTCTGATGTGGGCAGCTGGTTGGGCAAAGCGGCTTGCCTGGTGTCTTGGGACCCGAGAGGCTTAGCAGGCTTAGCCGGCTGACACTGTTTTTGTTGGTGTTTGGGAGGACTTCAGTGAGTTGCTCCTGGTGTTTTGTCCTGTTTTTTTTAGCATGGTGAAGGATTGCACACAGCTTGAGAAGGTCAGTTGCTGTTGGTTTAACCAGGGTGGCTCGCAGAAAAAGCTTCACAAAACCATGTGCTGTAAACTCAAGTAAAAATTATGTGTGCAGCTCAGAAGTTATATATAGCATTCATGACTGCGCATCCTCAACGATTCGGGAGCGGAAAAGATGCCCTAAACCTCGACCATGCCCTCAACGATTCGGGAGGTTGTTTAGATTGGGATGATCAGGGATAGATTCTTTTGATCTCAGCTTCCAACCCCTCCGGACCCACCTTCTCTTTAGCCATCTCTGGGCTTCCCCGACCCACTGCCCGCAGTATCTGGCACCATCGGGCCACATCTGTCGACGGTGGCAAAGGCCACACGGCGTGGCAAGGTGGCAGGAAGGTCGGTTGGTTTTGGAGGTGAAAACACTGCAAGGATTTTCCAGCACACCTCAGGTTTCACCTTCTGCATCAAAGACCTCCCAACTCCATGGCATCCAACCGCTGGTAGCAACACCGGCCTGTTCCCCATGCCCATGCCGCAGCTCACCCATCCTGCCGTACGGGTGTCGCTGTGCACTGGAGTCTCATTCTCTCGAGCTACAAGTTTGAGATCAACGGGGTGTCCCAAGCAGGGCTTGCTGCTTGATTGTTCTTCTATCAAAACAACCTATTTTCGCAAGGGCTGCTGACAGGACTCACACTCAGCTTTCACGTCAACTCTCTCAAATTGGCCAGAAGCCTAGAAGGCCCCAATCAGCCGCTGAACTTTTTGATGTAAAATTAGCAGGTCCACATCCGAGCAGCGATCTACTTGCAAAGTCAACGTGCATGCACCGCCACTGCCACTCACGAAGAAAGATTAGGACTAGGACTCGCTAGAAACCAGGACAGGATCTTCCGGCACTTGGGGTGGAGACCGAAAAAGTCGGCACAGCCCCGCGCGCCATGAGCCATGGTAGGTGGCGCCGTTCTCGTACCTCGACGCAGATTCAAGGGTGGGCTGTAGCCTGCGTTTTCAAAAAGGAATGCCAACCTACAGAACTCCAAGCCACAAATAATGGATTCACAGAATCACAACCAACCCCAAACACTCCGACAGCTGAGCTTCAGGCGTAAAGAGCGGCCTGGCCGGGGCGATCGAGACGGGAAGAAGCTCAAAACACCCCGACACTCCGAACCTTCAGTGTGATGGCACTGGAGCCCACCAATCACAAGCTGAATGTTGCTTCAGGACCTGCAATCAGGAGTCTCAAGATGATTTCTTCGTAGTTTACATCACCCAAATCCCAAAATGAACCACTCCGCCCACACACATCTACCTTCACACCCACACGCACACCCGGGAAGGCGCCGCGCCTCACTTCGGAGGGCCCCGAGCCCTTCTCATCCAGAAAGTTCACGTTCGTCTCCGCGCGCAACGAGCATCGCGGCCGTCGCGAGCAACAACCCAAGAGACAGGGGCGGTGAGGATGCAAGGCGTTCGGACGTTTGGCGGTTGTGGAAAATCCTTAGGTGGAGAAACAAGAATTAGAATTTAATTAGAATTAAACTATTGTTCCTATTCTAATTAAACTTACTTCTACTAGCTTCTTGTTACTACCAGTAAGGCACTTGTTACTAGAAGCGATGCACTTGTTCCTAGTAGCGAACATTGTTCCTATTCATGAAGGTTGGTCTTTTTGTGTATTTGTACATGGAATGGGGTGTGCCTACGACAACATCACCAGACTGCAATCAACTTCTGGATGTGCTTTGATTAAGGATTTGGATTATATCCCCAAGAAGGGTTCTACGAGGGTGCGCCTTAGATGTTTGCTATTTTGAGCCCAACTCTGCTACTGGCCCAACAATAAGCCAGCCGCCGTGAATTGACCAACGCCTCCCCATCATCATCGGCGTCACACCTGGTCGAAAACCGCGCTCACAGTCGGGGAGTCGCACTAACCCTCCCCAGTGTGTGAGTCATCTTACAGAAGCCCCACAGTGGATTGCTAGGTTAGCTTGCTGAATGTAAGCCGCCAGTGGTTTCTGCTTTCTTAAAATGTTTGAACCGCTTCGCCTTTGTGGAAACTACGCTTCCGGGCAAAAGGATGGAAACTGCCCAGTCACTGTGTCTGGGGGTCCGGACAAGCAGTGACTCCCACGCCCACCCATGGCTCTGAAGGAGTGTCTGCGGCTGTGGCGAAACACCACGGGTGCGGGAGGCGAGCTGAGATGGAGTGTGATTCGAAAGGAATCACAACTTGGGTGTGAAGGTACCTGAATCCATGCGCTCCAAAATGAGATGCCCAAAAGGTTGGAGACTTCGCATGGTTGATAGCTGCAGCAGCCCACAACAGTGTCGCCGTAGACTTGAGAGAGGAGGGGGTGAACGAAAGGTAGCAGGCAATCACAAGTAACCCTGGTAGAAGTCCATGACGGCGTGAACCGGCGCAGGGGGATTTGATCCAGGGGGGCCCCCCCCCCGACGAACAGAATCATTTCTTACAGGACCAAATTCAATGCACAATCCCAACTCCATTTTTGCTAAAGCAAGGAGAACTCAGGTAACTCAAGCTACCTTTCGCGACCAGTCCCCAACATCTGCAAACCGATAATTATCCAAAAGGATTCTTCGACAAACAAATCCCTGCTCTTCTTAGCATCTTGGAGCTATAGCAAGTCTGAAGCATCCCATCCCACCTCGGAAAAGGCCTAGATTCGTTCGCACCGCCATGCGCCCCAGGCCGTGAGCCCAAACAGCAGCAGTTTCGTCGTGAAACACGGATCACACGACACATCTTTACCCCCGAGCGAAGCCGGTTCACTACTATATCAGGGCAGGGATACACATAGGGCTAATCACATTTGCAAAACTTGCAGTTTCGTTTTTGAGAAACCCTTCCACATCTCAAGTTGAAGACAAGCTACCTTGTTCAAATATGGCCTGTAGTCCCAAATCCTCTACACTGAACAAATATATATGAAAAAAATGTTTTGGAGATTTACAGCTGTCCAACTCTTTGAACTGTTAAATTCTAAAAGAGCCCAATGAGATCCGCCCTCTGTCACCCCTCGGTCGGACTCTGCACCTCGACAGCTTGGACGGACTCCCTGGCGGAGTTCTGCGGGTGGTGCCCTAATTCAACGGGCACTTTTGGATCCGGGCTCAGTGAAGACTACCAACCTAAGAGCGATGGCCTCCAACCTACTAGCGATAGCCCCCAACTCGATGTTGATTAGTGCTGATTAGGAGCCCTCAAGGGATTGTAAGAGGTGTGGGAGTCATGCTTAGAGCTTTTTGTCTGTCTCATGAAAACCATCAGTTATTGACACACTTAAGCTCTTTCTGTGTCGAGTGAATTGAAAAAGCTTTGTACTCCAGTAGATCTAGCTGAGCTTGGCTTGCCCCTTCGCCACCTTCACTTGGGAGATGCCGCAGACTTCAGTTGAATCGTACCAAGAAAGCAATGACTGGGCAAAAAGTTGGAGACAAAACCCAAATCTGCACCAAACCCACACCAAACCCACACCACCCTTCCGCGCAGCGATCTTCGGTCGTCTTTTCTTCGCCGATCGTCTTTTGCTCGGCCAAGTCTCGGTAGCTCCGTGGAGCTCCGCTAGAGCTGGGCGGTCACGCGAGGTCGACGGGGAGTGGAAACCGGTGGGAAACCAGAAAACATCGGAAGGAATTCACAAGACTCTTGTTCCGGTCGTCACTGACACCCTTATTCAGTTGTCTAGCAGTTGACCTTCAAATTCTACCCTGCATGGCTGTCATAATGCCCCACTGACATGGTACAACAAGGTGCTTCATGCTGTTCCTTGGTCATTTGGACTCTGAGGGTTTCGTGTCAATGGTACGCCTGCAAGGAAGACAGGAAAATGTCTTCTAACACCGAACCCCAGGAGCCGCCCTCCATCGCGCGACCGTGAAGCCGCCCGAAGACCGGCTCAGGAACACCTGGCGCAGAACTTGGAACGGCAGACTCAAGGAGCAAGAAACAACACATCCGATCTCTGGTGGTGAGATCTTGTATTTTTGCAAGCTGAAAAGTCTCTCGTCTGACTGTCCTTTGATCACCAGTGCTGGGGCTACTTCAAAGAGTCATCCTGACTATCGGACAGCAGAATCATGTCGTTTAACTGCTCTTGCACTTTGCCAAAAGCAAAGCTTCGCGCAAGGGGGGAGCTTCCTGCAAGTTCATGTGGGCGTCCCCAGCAACAAACTCACGTCACAAGCTTCCAAACGAAAGGAGCTCTCACCTCGATTGCAGAGGAGCTAATTAATCATGAATGATGAATCATGACAATTTGCCTAGTAACCAAAAAAGTAACCAGTGAGGCCCCCTTAGTTTAGTGAACTTGAAGTTTCTGAACATGGCTTCTTTGAGGATCGCCACCCTGCCGCATCATTCCACCACTCTCTCTCCCTCTGTCCGGCTCCGCTCCTAGCTCCACCCGGACGTGCCGCGACCTGACCAGGAAGACAAAGCAGAGGATTCGCCGCCGACCGCCCTAGTAGCGATGGCCTCCAACCTACCAGGAATGGCCTCCACCCTAGTAGCGATGGCCTCCATACCGACTCTGCAAACATCCACAAAGCCAGATATCGATCGCCTGAACTTACTCCACGACACGCCATGACACGCCACTACCTGCCTGCGGGTCGCCGACGCTCTCTGCGACCTCGGCGCATGAAAAGGTGTCCAAGCCGGTGACCAAGCCTTTATACAGGAGCAATACAAAAGAGAACTCTCTTTTTATCCTTTGTCTTTGTTATGTTGTTCCAAGCTTCAATAGTAGTATGTACAGTACACGTTACATCAGGTTGCAATGGTCCAATGTTCAGAGAAACAGCCTTCCCCAAAGTGACACGTCCTTTCAAGGATCACCACTGTTGACGCCCAGGGGTCGGTTCACACCTCTTTTACTCTTTTCTTTCCCCAATACAGAGCGAATCTATAATCCTCAGAATTCCGAAATGCCATGACTTTCATGGGTTGTATCATCATCTCTCAAGCCCACCCCAAGCTAAGCCCAGCTGTCACCAAGTGGCCATTCCATCCGCCCGCTTGGCCGTTGCCCCTCTGGCCCTGGTCGCACAGAGTGCACTTGTTGGGACCGATCGCGTCGGCTGGGATCCAAGGAACAACTCCTTCTTCCTCCAACCAACGGTTTGTCTAGTAGCTTCTTGTTACTAGTAAGAATGCTCCTAGTAGCGATGCCAGGAGCCCCTAGTAGCGTCCTTGCTCCTAGTAGCGATGCCCTTGGCTCCTAGTAGCGTCCTTTGCTCCTAGGTGGGTTTTGCATGGTTTTTCCTCCCAACTGCCCAAAGTAAACTAACTGTGAAATTGATCACCCTGACGGTCGGAAAGCCTAAACAGCGGCAGTTGATTCGCTCAATACCATCATCGCGGTGTTTTTTTACTTTTATATAGTTTATTGGGTTGGGCGAACAAACAACAAGCTCAACAGTTCATTTTTGAGTCCAAGATGGGTCGCACCAGAAGCTGGTTCGTCAAAAGCGCTTCAGGAAGACGCAACTACAATGCAAAACCAGGTGTGAGACCTCAAAATGCACAAAGGCTCTTTCCACTATCCGGAATATCCAAATTCCTTGACCCCAAGTGGTACAGCAACTCCTCCTCCCATTGTGGGCTCCCGCACCCACCAGCGACTGTTGCCTCAGCCCGAAGGGGGACTGCGGTGCTACCGCTCATGGAAAAAATGCCTCAACTGGTGGGGTGGCCCAAGATCTTCACTTGGACATCCAGAGTCTGTAGGGTCTAGAAACAAAACGTCCCAAAACATCCCAAAACAACCACCAACCTCCAACTTCAGATTGTGTTTCTTAAGACTCTTGGGGGCACCAACTAATCAGAAAACGCGCTGGAACTCCTGATCTCTTGTTAGCAGTGAACTGATAGCCCAGCTTGTGATTGCCCTCTTTTCTTTCAAAACATGTCAAAACCAAAATCCAGGTATCTGGTCAATTGGTTGGTCTCCACAGCCCTGTTCGTCCCCTTCCTTTGGGATCCGGACCCCAGTCATCCCAGCTGTCCTGGAGAAAATGCTAGGCCGAACAAGAAAGCGTTCGACTTCCGTTTCGACTTCCAGAAAGCCTTCGAGCACGGTGGTCGCGAAAACTTCCACGGAGCGAAAACACCATAGGGACCAACCAGAAGTTTCGTGGAGTTGTTCTAGAAAATTTGTTCCTAGTAGCGTCCTTGCTCCTAGTAGTAGGGCCAGGAGCCCCTAGTAGTCCTTGCTCCTAGTAGCGATGCCCTTTGCTCGTAGTAGCTTCTTCAATTACCTTCCAAGTCCACAATGATCAAAATGAACTTCAACTTCACTCATGATTGATGCCAATGGAAGGCCCACAAGCAGGGCTGACATGAGGAAAACCGGACCGTTCGCCAGCAACCTCTCCTGTTGTGAGGACCAGCTGTTGTCACCTCCAAGCGCCGAAGCGATGGAGATCGGTCTGCGGGGGGGCGGCAATTCCTTCGTTGGAGAAAAAGGGTCTGGTGGAAGGAACCCAAACGACACAGGCTCAGCTCACTAGGCTCACGATGGTCTGGTGACTGCCAAAACAGTGTGGCATCGTTCAAGCAGAACCTGCGCAAGGTATCGCAATCCCCAAAAAACACACAGTGTCACTCCAAGGACGCCACCATACCATTGTTGCTCCTGGCAGAAAAAGTGTTGGCCGCACTGCGCAAGTGGAGCTTTTGATGGTTTGATCAGAGGTCAGGCAGATGCTAATCTGGGAATGGATGTACTTCGGGGCATCTCAAAATTCTCCTGATTGTATATCTTTTTGGAAGACAGCCTACCATGCGGGGCGGTCAAGCGGTCCCCCAATACATGGACAAAATGAAAGGCAAATTTGAACGGGTCACTTTTCATCACTTCTCACTTTTTCTGAACTGAGCTTGGGGGGTCACTGTTTTGTGATTTCCCAAGCAAGACTTGCGGACGGACCTAGGCACCTACTCCGGACCAACTCACCCTGCTTCACCGGACCAACTCGACTTCGGTCCTCCCAACTCTGCTTGGCACCGTTGGTACCTCACGGCGGGTTGAGACGAGTCCAAAGCACAAATACGGCTGTGAACACCGTAAACGATGAGTGAGTCAGAAGTGGACGTTCAAAAGGGAGGGGAGGCAGCACAAATGTGTTGAAACAACACTACACGAAAGAGCTGAACATGTTTGATCGGTAGGGAATCGACTTGACTCTGCATTTCTAGCCCTCCAAAAGGGCATGGCTCAACACGACACATTCATCTGATATCCCTCAAAATTCAAGAAGCTCCCCCCCGCCACCTTTAGGGCAGTGGGGGGAGAGCTATCCTGTGTCCTACCTAGAAGCTAACTTTTGCTAGCTTATCTCCTTGCTTAATTAGGTAAGTAGAGGCGGGAATAAAAATACAAAAAGCTACAATCACAAATTCTCACAAATGCTTTCTTCTTTTTCAGCCTCGTCTGTGATCGGCCGAAGTCGTGAGTGCTTTGCTGAAAGGAGTGCTGCCGGTCCAAGGTCCACAAGACTGGTGTTTTGGTGCGGTTTTGACGAGATTAGGCCCCAGTTTGCCAAGCTCTGGTGCTGTATCCCGGAACAGCAGGATTGTGAACTCGATCCCCCTATAGGGATTCTACCTCATTCCACCCCAATTGACCAGAATTTACTCTTCCCAATCACAGGGTGCCATCCAACGTAACCAAATGCGACCGGTCGGTAACATTCACTCCACTGACCCCTGAGATGCTGAGATGCCGTTGTAGGATCCACTCTTGCGGACCTCCTTCTCTTTGGTGTGGGACTTCTCCTGGAAGCATCCCCCCTTCACCCACGAAACAGTATCACGGCAACCACTGCAAGTGTCGCTGCTCCCGGTGGGGATTGGGCGCCACTAGCCCCGCCGTCAGTTGTCAAGTGGTGGAAGGACCAATGTGAACCTGTTTTGGGATCTTGTTGTTTCAAGTGCTACTCTGTCTCTTGTTGATTCATAAGGCGGCCGCCAACCTGCTCTGTTCAGCAAGGAGGATATATAGATCATGGCGAGCCCACAGTTTTTCCAAGACACATCCATGTTTAGGCCAGAATTTTCTCATCGTGAGGCAAGCCCATTTCTTCAGGCAAACCCAGCTGCCACTCATCGCCCAGTCCTCGCCAGATTTTCTTCGACCATTTCCTTTGCCACCTGCCCAAGAGCAGAATGCTCGTACCACGAAGGAAAATCAAGCTCAGAAAACAGTCGAAAACAGTTGTCGTCTTCTCTTTACTCAAGAGTTACTTTTTCCTTGAGAAGGCAGTTTCTCTTTGCTGAGAGACTGTGGCTGGATGCAAGAAAAGATGCAAGAAGGATGCAAGAGGGCCGGAGTGTTGTTCCTTGCGCAACAATTGTTTCACATCAGCACATCACCCTGACACATCAGCCACCAACAATAACAACAATAACATCGCATCGCCACATCAAATACCCGACAAATTGCAGAATCTTCCTATGGCTCTATCTTTCTTGAAAACATCCACCTCCCGGATCCGGCCGAGATTCTCTGGGAAAACTAGTATGATAAAAAAAAAAAGAAAGATGCAACTTCAATTAGCAGACATCACAGAAAATGAGAATAACATTATAGGTTGTGATGATTCAAGTTTGGTCACCGTCAACCTTACCCTACGTTTTGGGCCCTATCGTGGCCTCTTGGTACATGGCCGATCAAATCGCACATAGCAAAGGTGATTGAATTTGAATTGCACACTATGTGGCTCCCCAACAGGCACAGTGGATACTCGCAGGGTGGTATTGGAAGGTCATGAGTCATGTTGCTTTATCAAGAAGATACCGGAGAAACGTCGCTGGTCAATGTTAAGATGAAGAGATTGGACTTGGTACATTCTAGACATGGACTGATATATGTTTGAAAGATCAACTCTTCAGCCCCGGCAGTCATACAATTCATCCCTTGGAGCAATCACAAGAATTCGTTCCTCTTCCCTTACGGATAGAAAAGGTGGCGCCATTAGGTTGGAAATTAACCTAAACTAAAGAAATTCACCCTAACAACTCCCCACCCTGCCCACCTCCCATTTTGGGCGCATGCTCCTGGAGGTGTGGACCACCAATGATCAAGGGAGGCACAGCGTCTTCAGGCCAAAACACATAGAAATAGCAAGTGATTGTGGAGAGGTGTTCACCCCAAAGCCTTCAAACCAAAAGAGTGGAAACAACAGCTTTGTCTGGAGTGCATGCATTGTTTTTTTGACTATGTTCTTGTCTCGTTTGATTCCGCACTTGGTCAGACCAATTTGAAAAAGCACGAATTGTGCAAGCGATGCTACCATTGTGAACAAGCATCACTCGTGTTGCAATGCAGGCTGCCCGCGTTGTCCTCATCCTTCTTGGCCTTCGCAGGGGGAACCTGTCAAGATCGCATATCGCCAGGCAGACCATCGAAAAGACTTGCAAACATGGATGGCCATCGGGAGAAATATCGTTCCATACATCCATTCATTGGCAGCCCCTAGTAGCGTCCTTGTTCCTAGTAGTAATACAGTTTTCGTGCAGCCAACTTCGACCGCACTTCCACCCAGCCTTCGGCTCCGGCGCCTTCCTGAGACCGGTGAAGGGGACATCGGGGGGTCAGCGGCAAGGCAAGAAATGCTCGTGGGCAACAAACAAGCCCCACAGTGTCTGCACGACATATTCGGTTGGAAATACTCCTGCAATCCAGTTCATCTAACTTTCAATGTCACGGAGTCTGGGGTACCAGACTTCGCATCCGCCTCAGCAAGTCATTGCCAAACTCATGATGACTAGCAGCCTCACCGCCCTGCCTGTCTTTAGGACAAATGATCAGGTATAGATTCAAGCTCTCGGAACTCAGAACCTACAAATATTCGATGAATCTCGCTCAACATATGTCGACTGCTGCTACCCTTTTCTGCGACTCGATTCAGGTCTGCACTGTCTGTACTAAAGTGCTTTGGTTCGAAATGCGACCCACGTCGCTTGTGTCATCTGACATCTGACACTCTCCCTGTGGGAGCACTCCATCCGGTCCTACGGCCACAACGGATGCCAGCTCTGGACAGAGCGATGAAAAGATTAAATGAAACTCCCTAGTCATCGTCAATACCTGGGACCGACAGAACAGGTATGATGGCTAGGCGGCGGGCAGCCGGAAAAGGACAACCGGACGACAGCGGCAGACAGCACAGTCCCAATCTCACGTGGCCGGCAGCCCAGGCTGCAAGCGTCACAAGCATAGCCGTGGTAACTGAAAGTAACCCGGAATACGGCCATCAAGCACCAGCAAGGCCACAGGTGAAGCGACTATCACCAGGTAACCAGACTCTTCCGGCAACAAGCCAAGTCAGCCACCAGCTCGACTAGCACCAGGTGGACATGAAAGTAACTAACAGGGTGTGGCAGGGTGGGAGAAAAAGTTTAGCTTGAGGTACCAGCAGCGACACTGCTCCTCAAGGGGCGTCTCCCCAGTTTGGCTTGAGCATTCAAACATTGGGAGACGTTGATTCGAAGCTTCCCAAATAATTCATCGTCACCGACCCTGCCTACCTTAAATGATTGAATATATTCGATGAATCTCGCTCAACATATGTCGACTGCTGCTACCCTTTTCTGCGAATCGATTCAGGTCTGTACTGTCTGTACTAAAGTGCTTTGGTTCGAAATGCGACCCACGTCGCTTGTGTCATCTGACATCTGACACTCTCCCTGTGGGAGCACTCCATCCAAGGCACTAACTTATCCAAAGCACTCAAACGAACTGAAAGACCTGAGCGATGAGGTGGTAGGGCAGCTGGAGGAGCATGAGCAGGGGGTAGGTGTGGAAGAGACGAAAATCATGTTGTTGGAACCACGGGTCGTGTTCTCCCTGTCTGCTGATGCCGTCTGACCAGTTGTCCTTACTCTGGACCCATTCAAAGTAGCATGCACTACGGCGTGCAAACAGAAGGCCATGGATGGCTCCGGCCATAGAATCCAGCTCATCGTTGTTGCTGCGGCCTCGTATGAGAGCCATGAGGGCAGCGATATTGTCAACAAACCATATACCATGCATTCCGCGAACTGATGAGGCATTATATGCCAGGCCCATGTAGACTGTCAAGAGCTCAAGCTGTGCAATCTTGGCCTCATGATGGGACCACACCGTGAAGATCTTTGGGCTGATGTGGACGACATAGGCCCTTCGGTTACCACGGGGGTCAATGAACAAGACTCCCGCAGAGCCCTCGCGGGGCCTATCTTGCGCTGCATCGGATGCTGCCAAGTATCGGTGTTGCCGTACTGGATTGAGCGGTAATTCTCTTTCAGGCTTCAACTGAAGTAGAGCTCGAATTCTAGCAAAGGACTGTTCAATCTCCGGTGTCATCACGACTTGCGAGGAGTATTGTCTTTCCTTGATGCTATGGAGGCCCGACCGGCCGAGCTTGCCGAAGCATCCCGTCGTCAAGAAGCCCAGGCAGCCAAAGAGCTTGGCCGCCAGTCCCGGAGGGAGGCGACGCGTCTGAGTGGCCTCCTCCATGATGTCGGTGACCTTGGTGAGCAATCGGTCCCGGACCCAGAACTTGACAGGATCACCCCGGTGGCAGGCAGCCACGTCATGGATCAGCCCCAGAAAATCAGACTGAGCCGCCAAGGCATCGTGCCAGGTCATTAACGAATGCCTGGCCAGTGCCGCCCATGATACCGAAGTCCTGGATTGTCAGGTCATCAAAGTACATACTGGTCATACAATATGCCAGGCGGCGGCAGGCAGCTTGAAAGAACCGGGGAAATCGATTGAACGAACACACAGCATTTGGTAACCCGAACAGAGAACCGTAGTATTGTCGAAAACGGGGGCCACCCACGTGGTGGTCGTAGTATGCCACCACGGCCATGTTGCCATGTGTCGGCTTCATGGGGACATAGCGGTAGGCGTTGGGTAGGTCTTCGCCCCCGGACCAAATACCAGCTTGCAACAACTCAGACACGTGAATCGACGAGGATGCTGCCTGCCAGAGCAATTGAACATGAAGGCCAGGTTGAATGCTCGTACATAGATCCAACTTGTTCGCATCCGAGCTGAGTGCACTCTGCCCTCCGTCTGCAGCGTCATCTATGACTCGCAACTTACCCGAGGGCTGTTGTATACAAAACCTCCGGATCAGCCTGAATTGGGGGAGGTCCTGGCATAGCTGGGCCCATGTCATTGGGGGGCCACAAAAGCCTTTGGCTTGGTCTTCCTCACCCGCCTGGGCAATGGCCGCGTCGTGTTCACCTGGGCGGAGGCTTTGGATGATGCGGGCAGCCTCTGGCAGGGCGTCCTGGTAGATGGAGGCGTCCGGGATGTAGTGAGCTGGTTGAGCCTTGTACACGGGCACATGCGGGAAAAGCCTACGGCAGGGAAACCATATATCAGGTTAGCCACGAACGTAGTGTCTGGCCATCCAGTAATCAGCATGATAAGCCCAATCAGGGCGATGTGGCGCCCTTGAGTGGCGGACCGCACGGGCGGTGGCTGATAAGTTTGGAGGTGGTATGTGATGGGCCACATTCGACGGCTCAGTTCTTGGAGCCAACGGCCTGTACGTCTCCTCACCTCCCGCAGGCCCACTCCCTGGGCTGCATAGCCAGATGCGGCAAAGATCAAATCATCATCGACAACACCCATAGTTTCAAATGGGGTGGGTCTCTGTTGCAACTCAAGTGCGAGTTCAAAATGTCGCTCCTCCCCTACGCCAAAGGGGATCATAGGCGGTAAGGCTTTTGCAGCAGCAGCCGCTCCGGGCTGCTGAAGGCCGCTCATCGCAATGGCGTTGCGCTCCAATGGGCCCACCAACCGTGGACCAAAGGCGTGTCCGTCCCAGTCCGGGCGGTTCTGCATGTAGTTGAGCCATTGGTAGTGCGAGTCATCCACTAGCAGGTCTTCGAGCATAGGCCACTGGAATCCCTCCCAACTGATATCTGGACAAAGGGCCATGAGGCTGGCCACCACAACCTCCTGAGAGAAGCGCAACGGGACTGCCCTGGCAGGGCGAATGCCGGCTGCAATGAGTGAAACCCGTCGCAACTGTTCCCGAGCGGGATGGCCGTGGCCTGAGGTCGAAGTAGGACGTGAAGTAGTCCAAACCAGAGCACGAATGATATCGCCATGACATAGCACGTTGTGGGGGCAGTCGCACACCAGCGGCGTGCCATGTAGGGATGGGAGGTCAGCCAGCAGATGGTCCTGGTCGGCGATCCATCTGGCGTAGTGAAGGACACTCTCAATAGCAGTCCTGCCTTCCCCTGTCCGGAAGGGGTTTTGCCACTGTGTCAGTGGCCAACAATGGGAGAAATGCCCTGGGCCGATGTACACGTCCATGTCTGTGAGTTGTGACCTCAGTTGCAACACATCGAATGCGACTTGGCGAGTGGGCACATGGGACGAGTCTTCTCGTGGTGGTGTGAGGCCCAGGTGGAAGCCCATGACATTCATCAGATCCTCTCGCAGCTCGGACGGTTCGAAATGGAGCAGTGGTCGTACGTCCCCTGAGGTGTTGATGGGCGGTAACCTTGGGATGGCGAGGACGCCGTAGCCCTGTCGCGCCGCCCATGCCGTGCAGCATACTGCTAGGGTGAAGACCAAACTAGGTGTGTACTCCGCTTCGTTGAAGGTGGAGAACTGCCCATTACCCGACGAGCGCCACTCGTTGGGGTCATGAATGTGTCCACATCGAACGGCCGGAAGGGAGGCCAACTCGGGGATGTTGCGACGAAACTTTTGGGCTTTGCGCCGAGCGCCTCCGAAGACGCATGCATCGTAGTCCAAATCCTGCCAATCGTCCTCCTGGCACAGGTACTGCTCAACCGGGTCCCACCAGTGCAGAGACCTGAGCGGGTTCTCGCGAAGACATGCGATGTTCTGTTGATGTCCCCAGTGTTGTAAAGCCAACAGGTAATCACTGGAGTAGTTGTCAGCGTCGACCCGTGCCTGTTGTCCCGCGTCCAGTCCTGTTAGACCCTGTGGGTGTTCCTCGGATCGTAGAGGAGGGGGACCGGGCCGTTTCTCCCTAGCTCTTGATTTGGTAGCACAACTCATAGCCCCCGCAATAGTGGCCACCCGAGGGAGCACCGCCTGAATAGCCCGACGGACCGCCGGACGCGACACGTCCAGGTCCTGATCGATCTCGATGTCAATCGGTGTGATGATCTCCCATTGGCACCACAAGAAGGCCTTGGACAACGGTGCATGGACTCCACTGAACACATCAAGGAGGATGGGGCAGGGTGAGGCTTCAGTCTGGTGCATATCAATGGACTCCAACTCGGCCAAAAATGAACGGAAGTCATGAAAGACAGGAGTGTCCAAAGATTGGCCTCGCCCCCCCCCCAAGAGAGGAGCGGCCCTCTTTTCAAGCAGCCTTGGGGCATCCTGAAGGTGAGTGCTGGTACGATCCGCAGACCCGTCCTGACTGCAACACGACTCCGCAGCGGTGCGCCCCACGTGGGCAGTTCTTCTTGGTGCGGCACTGATTGCGCTGGTAGGCCTGACAAAGCTGCGTGCCATCACGAAGAATGGAAACCACCGACCCCACCGGCCCTGCATCCGCGGGGGGGGCCTTGGCGGGCGACGCGCCGCCAGCAGCGGTACCCGTGGTGAGGCTGGGGGCTGGCAGGGCCCCGGCCAACCAAAGGGCGTCACGCTCCCGCATGATGGCACTGATAACATTGCCAAGTGTCGTGTGGCCCGTGCATCGGGCTGCCCATTGACCGCGCTCTTCCACATCGAGGTGTTGGACCAGCTGCAGGCGCCTCCCCTCCGAGGTGCGCAGAATCAAATCATGGCAGCGGCTGGAGTAGGACAGCAGGATGTCATAGGCGACCTGGACGTATTGCACACTGTCTGCACCGAGCGACTCAGGCGCAGACGGCGCCGGCTCCACGGGGCGACACCCCACAATAGCCAGGGCCAAGAAGTAGGTGTCCATCTTGGCCATGTAGGAGAGCCAGGACTTGGCGGTGATCTCGTCCTCGTCATCCTCTTGGAGGTACAAGTTGCCCGTCAGGCGTCGCCGCTTCTGGCTATGTGTGCGCTGGAAAGTGAGTGAGCGGACCGTCCACAGATCCATGACCTCGAACTGGCTTCGTGTCAGCTGTCGGCTGAGCTTAGACAGCAGTCGGTCAGAGGGATACTGGCGAGGTTCTGGACGCAAGTGGTAGCGTCGAAAGAAAGCCTCTTTCAACTGCTCGAGCTCCTGTTTGGGAAGCAGCGTCTCTTCTTCCGTTGGCGCTGGAGGCAGGCTGGCCGCTGCGTGCTCGGAATCCAACAAGGCCTTGCGCGCCGTCCAAGCGAAGCGCAGCCGAGCAGCCTGGAGGCGCCCTTGCATCTCCTCATAGGGTGGATCCTTGGTTGTATCGATGAAGAGCTTTTTGATTTCATCCTCACTGCGGGCGTAGTGGCGGAATTCTGCAATGGTGCGAATCCCCAACTCAATGATCTTGTCTTTGATGCGCTGCTCGAAATTGAACTGCAGCGCAAGAGCGGTGAAGGTGTCCTCCGGCGTAGCAAGCTGCTTAGGGACGGTGGCCATGATCCACAACAGAAGATGGTGGGAGCAGCGAACACTGGAGAGCAGAGATGGCTGCGGAAGATCGCAGAAGCGAAGAGTGGACAGAATCTGCTAACATAAAGCAAAGAAACAGCGGGTAGCAAATGGAGCACCGCACAGTGTCAACCCTTTTTCAAAAACTCAAAGTCGTTCATGGCATGACTACTGAAGCCGCTTTGCAAGCTCCCCGAGCTCCAAGCTCAGGCATTGTAGCGCTGGCCAACTGATGGCCTCGCCTGCCGCGTGGGCCTCGTAGTGGGCAGTATAGAGCAATTGACGGAACGAAGCGCGATCGGCCTCATGGAGACTGTCATGGTGACGCGCCAAATCATCACATGTAGTGTGGACCAGTGGGGCGTAGGGAGGCAAAGTACCAGGTCTCGGGGCCGCCGGCCACAACAGCCCTTCCAGCCTAGGCTCTGGGCGTGCTGCCTCCCTGGGCAGGTCTTGGATCTCATCCCACCATTCGATCCATGATTCACATAGGTTCCGTGCAGCGCGCAGCTGAACCTGTACCACCCCTAGACAAGAGGTGGAGGTCGGGGGAAGGGCCATCAAGGCCCGACAGGCCTGGTCCATTTGATCCCCTACCTCCCAAGCACGGGCCCGTCTGGCCTCGCCCTCCAAGGGCGTCAGTGTCACGGCAACGAACTGGATCGCCTGAGGCCGGTCCATTGGCGCAGGGTATGGTCGCGTAGGCCGGAGTTCACTGGGATACGAGACGCTGCAGCAAACATGCAAGAACTGACTGTAAAATTCGATCGAGGTTCAGACTAGGGACCTACTCCTCGGGCCGTCCGCCGAGTCCCCATGAGACAAAACTTGCATAGCACACGAGACGCCCTCTCGGCCTACCCGGTAGGCGTGCTGTTTCCGAGGACTGCAGTTATTAGTACAAGTGGACCTGGGCATTGCCAGGGAGCACTGCTTTACATGTGATACAGAAATCACGCCCATAGGCCAAGGCCTCATGAATGCTGCGAGCTCGGTGGACTTCGCCTCGATAAGCAGCATTGCGCTGGCGCCATCTGCACCAGGGCGCGTTGTCACGCTCCACATGCCAGTGTGATCCTGCTTTGGTAGAGGTAATGAAGGAAATCGGATACCTCGGCAGGGCCGGTGGGGTGATGTGGACCTGGTTCCGTGCCCATTTGAAGATATCAGAGCCGCCCCGCCGGCTGAGCACACCAGCTCGGTCGATAGCCCGCAAGCCCTCCAGTCGCGAATATGCTTCCTCGAAGGAGCACCGCCGGATCCATGCAAGTAGCAAACCAGCCAACACAGGGGCCCTGTGCACCCCCGCCATGCAATGAACCAGAACGGAGTAGCCTGAATACAGGGTTGCCAGAAAGATAGGCAGCACCAACTTCAACTGGCGGTCACGTAGGGCTCCTTGATGACCAACAGGAACATTGACTTGGTAGACCTGGCGAGCACTGACCCCTCCTCGACAGTCGGCGGCAATCTTGTCCATAGCGCTGAGGCTCATGCCGATGTGGTGGGCCTCCAACCAGGCCCGGTCCGTGGGCAGACCGCCCAAGTAGATAGAACCATTGCCTGCTTCGCCCAGGAAGATGAGCGTGGGAGGCTCTGGGGCACCGCTGTGCCCGGGCCGGCGCCAGCGTTCCCGTGCCGCTGCATCGAAGGCCGCATCATTCGCCTCCTGCAGGTGCTGAGGCCGCTCTGGCGACGGTTGCAGCACTGAGGGCATGGCCTTGACTTTGGGGGTCGAAGGTGGCGTGCTCGAAGGAACTGCCGCTGTTGAAGATGAAGATGCCCGAGGTGAAGTCGATGGCAAAGGTGGTGGTGCCCGCAAAGATGGAATAGATGCCGAAGCTGATGAGGGCGAAACCACAGGCAGCACAGGCGGCACCTTCGGCGGAGGTGCTTTGGGCGGCGTCACCGGTTGGGCACTACCGCCGGCAACAGCCCTGGGCGGCGGCTCCACCCGTGCCCGCTTCGCCGGCCGCGAGGGACTGGTGAACGAAAATGTTGACACCGTGTTCCTCGGCCCCTGTGTGGGCTCAGGCACCGGGCCGGCAGCCACGGCTGGGGCCGGGCGCGTCCGCCTGAGCGCAGCAGTGAGGCGTTGACCAGTAGCGCGAATGATCTGGACCTGGGCCGGCAGCAAGGTCTTGACCACGGGCATGCCAGGGATGGAGTCGTAGAAACTCGGCGGATCTGGGGGTCCGAAGCGAGGAGCTCGTCAGCCTCCTCCATGCAAGTGGACCATCGGGCAGAGGCATAGCCTGTCGGCAGTTCGTCCCACAAAGCCATGTTGAGGTCCTGGAAGAAGTGCAAACCAGCCAAGCGTAACTGGTGTCCCAGGCGTTGTTTCCGCGAGTCATATCGCAGAGGGGTGGTAGACGTAGACTTGGAGGACTGATCCACCCATTGTCCAAGAGCAAGTCGCTCTGTCTCTGATAGCCCCACATACCCTGCCAAAGTCGGAAGCACGCGGCGGAACGAGTAGGACGAGAGGCTGGTAACGTCCATAGCTGCACTCAGGTAGGGGCGCAGGATCCGGACACATTGTGCTGTACCCACCGGCTGGGCTGTAGCCGAGTCGAACCCCAACCAATGCCAGCGCCTGAAGCCGGCGCCTGTTCTGGGGCGCACTTTGTTCAAATGGGCAGGTCCAACGTGCCACAATACCTCGGAACGCTCCAGGCAAAGCCACCACGACTGCCAGTCTTACCTTTTGTACACCAGAACACGAGGATGCCCCCGTTACCGCCGACCAAGTAGCTCCGTTGCAAATGGGTGTACCTGACCACACCAAAACATAGGGCGTAGGCACAAAACACCATGGGCCAGTGAGGATTGTCAACGGTGGATTCCAAGGTACCCAACAGGTGGATGACCATAGATGGCTCCAAAGTCGCCGCCTGCGCCTGCCCCTGACCGAGGCGAGATCCCAAACCAGCCCGAGGTTTCACCACTTCGGAGAGGTCAAATGGCAACTTGAGGTTGCGGACGATCCATCCTAGAGCGGTATATGCCCTTGTAGGGGACTTGTGCTCCCGAATGAAGGTGGCCAGGAGGTGTTTGTCCGGGATACCTCCACCTGCGGCCGCAATGACCCCTTGAAGCTCTTGCCACGTGTGCAATGCCCGCTTCACAGTGGCGGCCTCCGCCTTCTGGAGCACATGCTTGAGCTTGGCCTCGAAGTTGGCGGTGATCTCAGCCAAGCGAGCCGCCGGCGGGGGCTCTACTGCCAGAAGAATGGCCATCAACTGAGGCAGAAAGGTCAAGGCACCGCCGTCAGGGCCGCCCGACTGACGGCCCTGGGTGCTGGGCCTGACTGGCCCCGCAAACGATGGGGTAGGTCGTGGCCTCAACGGTGGCGATGTGGTAGGCCGCGGCGCTGATTGCGAAACTTGTTCACGACGAACGATGTCTCGCACCAGGGCTCCAGCGCCCAGCTCCGCTTCGCGGCGCGCCTGGTCCCAGGCATCCGCCACCGCGCGGCCCTGCTTCAGCGCTTCTTCGTAGGTAACGAAGTAAAACGCTAAGTCGGAGGGCCTTTCAATACCATGGGCAGCGCACCACCGCTCCAGCTTCTGCTGTTCAGCAGAGCGGCGGATCTGCTCGTCAGCGCTGGCCATGGCGTCCGAACCGGGAAGAAAAAGTTTAGCTTGAGGTACCAGCAGCGACACTGCTCCTCAAGGGGCGTCTCCCCAGTTTGGCTTGAGCATTCAAACATTGGGAGACGTTGATTCGAAGCTTCCCAAATAATTCATCATCACCGACCCTGCCTACCTTAAATGATTGAATATTCTTCACAAGCCAAGGGAGCTCTTGGATCTGTCAGCTGGAGGCAGCATACTAAATCAACAGAGCCCCTATCTGGGAGGAGCTGGAAAAGTATGTGCCTTTCTTGTATGAATATGTCCTCTACTGAGTGTGTTTGTCCAGTCCTTAAAACGATATATAAATGCCCACACCTAATCAGCTCTTCCCTTGTGTGCGTGAGCACTTGTGGAATCGAAAGCCCTTCAACTTGAGGAATTACTCTACTGACTCCGGGCAACTCCGTTGCACCCGGGCCTCAAGCGCCCCCGAAGCCTTCTTGTCCTGGGCGCGGGTGATAGTTTGGTGCCAAGTGTTTTCTTGAAACTCTGAATGCTTCAGAACCGTAACTAGTTGTGGGCACCACCAATGGAAACAGCATGAAAAACAACAAAATTGCAAGTTAGTCTGAGTTCTTGACCTCTTGAGGGTCACTGTTCCACTGTTCCACCAACGCATGACCCATCACCCACCCCACATGGCCGGAGCTCCGCACCTTGCGCTGCTGGCTGACCCGAAGCTCGTCGGCGGTTTTCTTCAGCGTCTGCCGCCTGAGAGGGTCATCCCAAATTGATCCCTTTGCCCCAAGTTCACGTATCCCCAAGCGATATGGTAGCATCTGTCTGAGCCCATGAAAATTGCCCCAAAGATCAAACGGTATTGTCATGCATCGCGACTTTCCCACCTAAATCGCTGTTTTTTGCGGAAAGCCCAGCAGTGCATTCTGGAGCCTAGCAGTCCATCCCTGCAGGCAACTCCAATAGTTTGCCCTGCAACGTCGGATCGAACCAAGATCCGAGAGGCCCAAGATTGTGGAGGCCAGTCGTTGGCTATGTTTCTTGCAGCTTAGTTCAGCTGTGGGCTGTAGGCGGGATAGCTCTACCTCTGGTTGGGAAGGGAGGTGTTTGTTGCTTGGTTTGGCTTCTGATCAAGTGAAACGGTGAAACCCTCATCAAGCCCACTTTACTTGCCGTTTTCTGCTTCATCTGTCGCGTTTTGCAGAAATCCCAAGATCAAAGCTGTCCGCCCAAGCCTTTCCAGCCCCGAACCATGGTCCCCGGCAGCCGACTGTGCTCGAGAAAGTCCTCCAGGTCTTCCACCACCTGCAAAGAGCACAGCTGGTTCAGCTGGGTTGGCCAGGGATCGGCATCCAGGTCTACCTCTTCCACACTAAACAGCTGGTCTGCCTGTCTGCCTGTGTTGAATATTACCTAGCAAAAGCAGGAAACCATTAGATCCATTAGGAACACCGATCAAAAGACATCTGTCCAGATCTTCTTCCCGCCTATCATCCCCCATCACCCACCACCCCCGCAACAGCTCCTCCGGCCCAGCTACGAAGCCGGCCTCGGCTTCCAGCTCGTCGTCCACGATGAAGGTCTCCTCCAAGGGATCAGCCGTCATGGGTTATACCCTTGAAATAAGGTTATATGCGAGCTTTTCTCGAACCTCAAAGGCCTGTATGTCGGTTGTTTGTACAGGTCGTTTCAAGGTGCGGAGTCAAGTGGCTTTGTTTACGCACTCCTCCTTGCTGGTTTGAGCCTTTAGCTCACATCAGCATCTCACCTTCACCATGGAACTTGATCGCTGTCTAAAAAGGGCATGTGTTTGTCCATGCGGCTGTACATCTCCATCTTCTGTTCATGATCACTTCGCTGGTTCAAATCGAACCACCTTCGCTCAAACTGCAGCGCATACTGCTTTGACCTGAGACACGATCTTGCTCCAGGTGTATCATACTGCATCACCTCTAGCATCTCTGCGTCTGTCAACCATCGTGTAGTCGGCATTGACATTGTTGGGTCTTCATATCTCCTCTCTTCACTCGGGTTGGCTCTTGATGCCCCCGGTCTCTCTTCTTCATCTTCTTCCATAGGTGTGGGTCCTTCTTCTTCACTTTCTGGCTCCCTCGGTTGTACATCACGTGCTCGAACTGTGATGATTTCACCTGAGTCCAGACGAACTTGTACTTCATCATCTGGATCATGGTCTTCACCCTCACTTTCAGCCTCTATCAAGGTGTTGTCCCTGACGTTCAAATGAAGTCTCGTTTGAACAGCATTGGCTTGGAGATAGCTTTTGATCTGCCCATCCAATCTCCTCATATCAAACTCTCTGTTGGTGTCCTCGATGTAGTTCCAATGCTTCCAATCTTCTTCACCGAACTCACTGTCATCGACATAGCCTGAGGCCTTGATCAGCCCCCTGTGAACTCGTTGCACATAGTTCTTGATCTTTGCCAATCCTTCTTGAGCTTCGTGACCATAAGCTCCAATCATCATGCCATTCACTTTCTCATCATCCGTCACACTCTGAAGCCTTGCCTCCATTCTCTCAAGCTTCCTCCAGAGCTTATAGATGAAAAGGATCAGCACACCAATCACCATGAACAAGATCACAATGAGCATGCTTGTCCATCCGCTGCTTCCATTTGCTTGTGTAGTCATGTCACCTTCACCTCTCTCTCCAGCCACGTGCTCAAGGCCTTCAAGAAGTAGAATCCGGTTTAGCAGCTTTGCAAGCCTCTGGATCTTGCTTTTGCTTACTGCTCTCTCTTCAAGGTTGTGGTGCTCCTCCTGGCCGATTCTTTCACCATCCCCATTGTAGATCTGGCACCAATGCAGAAGGAGATTCACCCTTGCTTTTGGTAGTGGTTTTGTGCCCAAATCTGCAACATTGGAAACCGTCCCCGCTGCTTTGACTTCGAGGTCTCCTTGCGCCACCATGTCCTGGATCCATAGGAGTTTTCCTGCAATGTGCCGCAGTTTTCCCGGACCTTTTCTGTGACATAAGTGAAGCGCTGCGGAGTTGTCCACTAGGCAGTAGTGAGTGACCTCCTCCTCAACTAGGAACTCAAGACACCTCCTCAAGTAAATGCCATCTGCTGCTCCACTGACCAGTGCATTTAACTCGGCCTCCGCTGAGCTCAATGACACTGATTTCTGGCCACGCGAGCTGGCCAAGATGACCGCCCCATTCAGCATGTGAATTGCAGCTGAGGTTGATCTTCGATGTCCTTTGGCCCCTGACCAATCACTGTCAGTAAAGGTCTCCAACAGCCATCTTGTTGTCGTACTCCTTGTTGAATGTCCATGGCCAGGATCTGGATACGGCAGCAAACTGTGTTGTCCAAGTGTCCCCTTCAAATAGCCTACAAGCTTTCCCAACTTCTTCAGGCTTCCGGTGGTTGGTGCTGACATCGATGACGCAAGCTCTTTGATGGTGAAGGATACGTCAATCCTCTCCTGAGACAAGTAGATGCCACATCCGACCAAAGATCTGTACATGCTCGACAGCTCTGCATTCAGCAACGTTGTGCCATCAAACTCCAGCATCTCCGGTCCGCATGGCAGCTTTTGTATCTTCACTCGTCCTAGCTTCTCCTCATATTGCTCAACCATGCTCTCTGCATACTTTCCGGGCAAAATCTTGAGACCTTCATTCACTTGCTCGTAGGTCCTTCGTAGAAAGTCGTGCCGTTGTCAGACAAGTGTTGCTCTGAGATGTCGAATCTCTTGCGGATGTCCGGGAGGAAGGTGTTCTCCATGTAGTGCTTTGCGCTCACATACATCACATCATCTACGTGGATGAGGACCATCATCTGTTCACCTTTCCTTCCCAGACAGGGATTGATGTCTGAGAAACTGAAGCCTCTCTCCTTCAGCCAATCCGTAAAGTAGTCGAACCATGCCTTTGCTCCCAAGCGCTGGCCTGGTAGGTTTCTCTTCACCTCATAGTACCCCCGAGCTGTCTTCACCTGAGTAGGTTCTTCTTGGGGTACCTGAAGAAAGGCATCTTTGACGTCCATCGAACCCAACCAGTAGGGCTCACCTCCGCTCTTCTCTTCCAGCTTCTTCGTGAGGTAGATGATGGGAAGAAGGCGTAGTGTTTGGCCTCCTGTTGCAGGACTGTGCACATCATCTCTTCTGTCCACAGCATACTCTCGCGCCACCAATCTTGACCTTCTGAGAAACTGCTTAGGTGAGCCTGGAAGATCTGGTCGAGGCTTCACTCTCCAGTCCCTCACGAACCGAGTTGTCAACCTTTTGAATCCAACCTTCTCCTCTTCCATGGCCTCCAGTACTCCCATGCTCAGAAGTCTCTGTTCTTCTACTGCATCGGCCAACTCATCGATCCAGAAGGGTGGATCCGGTGGCACTCTTTCCAAGGAAGCTGAAGACCACAGCTCTGCTGGTATCGCCACCTTTGAGTCTTCTTCTCCATCCCCTTCTCCACATGCTAAGATCTCCTCCTCTCCGAAGAACTGGTCCATGTGGTAGTAGGTATCCTGTCCAACTGCTGTTGCCTCTACTCTTCTCTCAACTTGCGGACCTCCTCCAGACGTCTTCAACCTCTTTGGCTCAGATAACTCCCCTTCACTCTCATGGATTGGTTTTGTTGGAGTCAACTTCAACCTCTTGGGATCTCCTGCACTTCCTTCCGCTTCCAAATTCATCTTCTGTGCCAAACTCCTGGGAGTAGTTACAGGAGCAGAAGGACCGGCTTGGTTGTTCTCCTCATCAATGCTGTTGGCATCTCGTGTCCTGATTTCTGGGACACTGACTTTCTCCTCTGCGTAATCTTGCTTCTTTTCTTCTGCCAACTTTTGCTCCTCTGTCTGCCCTTCTTTCTCACTGGGCTGCTTATTCTCGACCTCCACCAAGTCCTTCACCTCCTCCAGCTTTCCAGCATAGGACTTGGAGAAAGCTATGATCTCGCGTGCATCATCATCATCAACAGCTATTCCCTTCGTCTCGGCTGTTGGCAGTCCGAGCAAAGGTCCTCCAACCATGGCTGCCACTCGCTTTGAAGGCACAATCCTGCCCCCAAAGTTCTGCTGGAACTCCCACGAGTAGGCTGTGAAGGCCTGATAGCAAGCCAGGTAGCGAGTGCTAGCATCTGCAACTCTCCTCAGGGACTTGCTCAGAAAGACTCTGTTCCCGTCTCCAATGACCCAAGCATCTTGTACCTCGGTCTTGCCAAGACAGATTCCAACTTTCCACCTTGGATCAGCTTTGAAGCCTTGCTTTTGCTTGGAATAAGCAAAGACAACCTCTCCAAGAGGGCATACCTTTCCCTCATAGGCTTTCCCGTGTGTGAGTTCGAAGCTTGTGGTGCCTCTCAACACTTGGTACCTGTTCAGCGTCCAAGCTGCGTGCCTACAGGCCCATGACCATAGAGGATGTTGGTGATGGAACCTGAGCCCGATCTTCTCCGCCAGACTCTCCATCATCGAAGCAGCTAGACCCCTGACTCTATGTACTGCATTCTCCGCCAAGGAATTTCCAGCTGAGTCGTAGAGTTTTGTTGTGCGCATTGTGGTCTTCAATCCCATTGCTGTCCTTGATGAAACCAGAAGACGAACAATCTGCCTGGCTGTCGGCTCATTGTCGCAGTAGTACTGTACCGCTTCATGTCCTAAGACTTGGGTGAATGCCAGCAACTCATGGGTAATGAGATTCATCTGGTTCTTCGATTTCAATGGGAGACCCAGCAAAGATCCGGTCTCTGAGCACACCGCAATCAGCCAAAGTGCACCACTTTCTTCATCATGGACACCCTCTTGGGCTTGGTCCTCCTCCTCGGCTCCCAAAAGCCGCTGACCCTTTTGCTTTCACTTTGCAAAAGTCGAATGAGATGGTCGGGCATCCTTGATCATGCGACTTACCACTCCTCCGGTGTTGATCTGGTCGTGCACGATGCTTGATGCAAGCTGGACACCAAGGGGCGTAAGGGACGTGTGTCAGCTCGTGAGCTTTCCTCTCAGCTTCTGTTGGGACTTTAGCTGCCACCTGCTCAAGTGGGATCCTCTGCCCCATAGCTTGTCCTCTCGCAGCCAAATCTCTTGCCATCATCAACTCAAGCGCTCCTTGGTGGGCCACCAACCTGCTGAAGCACTTCTGCTTACCTCCACTCTGACCGATTTGGTAGAAGGCACAGGCTGCTCTCAGGCTCCTGAGTGGACTCTCCAGTGTCAAGGTCACATCGTTCACCCTGATCTCTTCCGGGACAGCCACTCCAACTTCATACTGGACCATTTGATCGTCCAGGTCTCGGCCCTGCTCCTGGTCTTCTCCTCCAGGAATCTCAGCTCCTCCAAGTTCCTCAAACTCATCATCTCCAGCCTGAGGGATTGCCAACTCTTCCATGTCTGGTTTGGGACCCAACTGAACTGCACTGTCGATCTCGAACCCGAAAACTTCAGGAACTGTTCCCTCTGGTGCTACAAAGGTCATCACTTTGCTTAGACCCACTTCTCGAAGCTCTTCAATCTCACCTTCTTGTTCTTCGAGCCCATCTAATGGCTCAGCCATCTCCACAAGTTCCCAGCCTCCATCTCGTTCCACCAAGGTCGACCGGCAAACACCTTCACCTTGATCACGAAAGCCAGGAATGAACTGTGGACTCTGAAACTTTGTGCTGAGGTGCAGTCCGACCCAGAAGTCATCCTTCTTCTTCCAGCCATAGCCACTGTTGGCCATGCTTTCCAGCTCACCTCCAAGCTTGACTCCCAGCGTGCGAATCACCATGGGCTCTGTGATGACTCGGATCGAAGCATCCACCACCAAGCTCTGATTCTGAAACGCTAACGGGACCTCCAAGCTTCCATTCTTGAGGCACTGCTTCCGTCCATCAATGGGCCATCCACTCCTCATCAAGCGACCGAAAGAAAGAATCGGCTGGCTGACCATGTCACTAAACGTGACCTTCTCTTTCAGGACCACGCACTGGCCCTCGGACGTCACCATCATAATGTCCACGTCCTTGTTGCCATAGCTTTTGATCTTCTGGCCTTGGGCATCCTGTAAATGGGGTGCCTCCTGCAGTGTCCTGTCGTTCACTGTCTGCTCAAGGAACCTTCCTGGGAAGATCGACGCATCAGCACCTGAGTCGACAATCACCTTGAACGATTGCCTTTCTCCACCTTCTTCGTAGAGCTCCAAGTTCACCTCCTCATTATCGGTCTCGACTACCGTGTTCACCATGTAGCCGTCATACTCACTCTCATCATCGGAGGCGATGTTGAAAAATTCAACTTGGCTCACCATTCGAATTGCACCAGCATCACTCCCTTCTCTCAAGTCGAAGATCACTGGTTGTGAAACTCGTCGAATGTTCTTGGCATTTGAATTCATCTCAACACCTCCACCACTTGTCAAGCTTGTTGTCAAAGTAGTCGAAGGTGAAGTCGTGTGTGAACCTGCAATGCTTTGGGTGGCTGGCGACTCCACCTGTCTCACACGCCAGCAATCTTTGGCCATGTGGCCCGGCTTGCCGCAGGTCCAACACACCTCACTGGGATTCTTTCCCTTGCCACCTTTTCCTTCCTTGCCACCACCCTTGCCTTTCCCATCTTTGCCACTGGATTTGCCGCCTTTTCCTTTGCTCTTGGACTTGTCCTCTTTACCCTTGCCCTTGCCCTTCTGCTCCTTCGACTTGCCCTTCTTTCCATCACCTTTGATCCTGTCGACCTCCATTGGCATCGCACCATTGGGATCATTCATTGGGCTCACTCCAGAAAAGGTCAAGGCACCTGACTCATTCCATTTGGTCGTAGCAGTGTCAAAGGCGATGATTGCTTCCCTGATCTTTCCGTAGGAACTGCCTTCGTTCAGGGTCAAATTTAGATGAGTTTTCATCTGGCCGGACACAGCTCTGAGCAGGACAGCGGATTTCATGTCCTGGGACAGCTTTCCACCAAGGCGCTCATACTGTAGGTAGTGTTCCTCCAACTTCAGGATTTGAGGCAGTAGAGAACTCTTCATGTTGAAACTCGGATAGGACATTATGCCCTGCAGCAAGTTCATTGTTCTGTTTCTGGCTTGAGGTTGACAGTTCATCAACAGCTGCCTAAGGGCTTCCATGCCGTTGAACTTCTCCACATTCTTTATCACCCCAGTCAACCTTCCTTGCACCAAACTTCCCAACAAACTGTAGAGAAATCGACTCCGCTGCTGTTCACCTTCATCTAAGAGCTCCCAATCCACCTCTGTTCCAGGGTTGGCCTCAAGCTTCTCCAGCTCTTCCTGAAAGGCACTGTCCACCACCACCAGGTACTGCTTGATCGTCCAGTACCAGTCTCTCCATTGCAAGACCTCCTGCTCCCGGTCGATGGGGTTGAAGGCACCGGGTCTCGGTATCAGCTTGGCCAAATCCTTCTTCAACACTCCATGCTCTTCACCTTGTCCTCCTGCTTGTCCACTCGACGCCGCCGCCTGCGCTGCTTGAGCAGCTGCTGTTGCAGCAGCTATGACAGCTTGTGCAAGGCCGCTCATCTCCGACTGGTCCATCGTGCTTTGGTGCTCTCCACCAACTTCCTCAGTCACCAGCCAGTAGAACCTCCTGTAGTCCAAGGGCGTCGAAGGTGAGGATCTCCTTCAGGTACTCTCAGGCAAGGATTGCGAGAACGTGCTACACCAGTTTATGGGTGGCTCGGCGGGTGGCGCGCTCAAACAAAGGCCTTTAAACTGGAGCTCCAGTCAGCACCAAGCCTTGGGTGCTGACCTTCTCAGCTCCGCTACCATGCGAGCTTTTCTCGAACCTCAAAGGCCTGTATGTCGGTTGTTTGTACAGGTCGTTTCAAGGTGCGGAGTCAAGTGGCTTTGTTTACGCATTATAAAATATTCAACAAAATTATGTTAAAGTTTTAGTAAATGCCTATGTTGAATCTACCAACGACCAAGATGGGACGATCCAAAAATAACCCAGCTTCTACAGACCAGCAACCTCCAATGGCTCAACACTTGCAGTATTGAAACCTTTGGGATCCACAGTGCAGGTCAGTTGACCGCTCCTCGCTCTCGGCACGTTTCTTCTTCTTCCGCTTCTTGCTGCCTTCTGCCTCAAACGCTCATGACAGTGGGCTCCTGGCTGGGTCAATCTCTCTTTTGGTGGCAACAAGCGACAACCAATTTGCTGTCTCTGATACCTCCGTTCCTCACCAACCCTGTCCACCGCTGGGCTGCCGGGCGGTTTCTCCCACTGCACGGACTCCCGGTGCGGGTGCATGGGACGACGGCACCTCCCGGTGGGGCGCCTTGCGCCGCTCCAGGTCGTTGCTATGGGACCTGCGTCGAAACGGTTCCCGCTGCGTGGTGCATTGAAATGGGTTTTGAGGTCAGAGTGGTGAGTTTGGATGGTTATGATGGTAGGTTCAGGAACAAACACCAAGTGTTGTTACCAAGTGTTGTCTGCAGGACCTGTGCTTGAGAACGGACTAAGAAAACAACTGCACTGGTGTAGGCCCCGCCCTTCGTGCAGCGACTCCACCCGCGCTCCGAGCCTTTCCCAAGCACGTTCCACCTGGCGGGTCTCAGCGCATCCCAGGAGCACCCACGAAGCATGGAGCAACAGTCGGTGGACATCTGTCAAGGTTTGAGAACCCACAATAGACAAGTTTGTTCCAGGGGCCTTGCAGGCCTGATTTCAATTTCATGCTCCAGTCTCAACAAGAGACGGTGCGAAACTTACAAGCCCATGCAGATGGAACTCAGAATCACCCCTTCAATGTCAAAACTTGACCCAATGCAATCAACATTCAAAATCTTGAAATTTGCTTCTCAAGGAATGTGTCTGCATGTTCTTCTGCAAGAGATTGGATGATTTGCTTCGTTTGCTTTCTGCCCCATGTGACCATGTGCGGCTTGGTGACCGATCCACATCCATCGTTGTCTGGCCTCCGCGGCGAAGGCCCGGTGCTGCATCAGCAGGGCCTGGCGAACGAAGGGCAAAGACGGGACGGTCCCCGGGTGTCCCCCGGAGCCAAACCGGGAGGATGTCCCATCTTAAGTTTGATCCTGATGTGAATAGTCTGCGTCATCAGGATGATGAACTGATGGACCTTAAATGAATTTCAGAGATGGATATGGGAGAAAATGGCCAGTGGCTGGTGCATTACCAAGAAGATTCACATGTCTGAGTGGCTCTCAGACTTTCAACCTACAACACACGCAAAGGATCCCCTGCGACCAAGGTTAGAGAGTTTGTGGAAGGCTGTGCTTTTGACGGGATTGGCTTTTGACGGGATTGTCATACGGCAACTGGACAACCTGCCAAACAAGTATGGCAAGCAACTCACCGATGTGGTTTCTCCCGACCCATATCTGGGATGACATCGGTTCTGTCGACCCAGGTGCCTCCTGTTCACTTCGAGCTCGGGCATGCTGAGACCTGCTTTTCGCAAGCGGGTCATCAGAGAGGTTGGGGAGGTGGGCCAACAATTGCCCAACTTGGTGAGCGAATCTTTGCTACAAGGAATGAATGGTCGGATCCACAAGCACCCGTAAATTTCGGGGGTGCAAATGGTCACTCAGGGAAGGAGATGCTTTGGACAGTCAGGTGATGAAGACCAGGCATGGACTCATGGACTTGTTTGGTGACTTACATAAGGAGCCACGGCCCATGGTCCTCTTCCTTTCCTCCCTGCTACGACCTCCGTGCTGAAGCCTGCAAATCCCAAAACCCTCGCTGCACAGGTGCCTTTGGGCCGCCCAAAGCACGCTGATGACCTCAGAGGCCACAGCGTCAGCCTAGGACTAACCAAACGATGTTGAGCTACCAGCACAGCCTCAAGCCGAAAGCATTCCGGCCAGTTCTCTCTCCACCAGGTGCTGCTTTTTGGCAGCTCTATGAATCAAGCTGCAAGTTTCTTTGAATTCTCCAGGCTCAACACGAGAGGATTTGCTCAAAGACCTATGTCAAAGAGCGCCTTGATGAAGGCTTGGTTACTTTGAACAAGAGAGCACTCTCAGCTCCTGTACAAGGATGCTGCGACCAGGACCTTCAATGTCACATCTTTGGAGTCCCCAAGTGACATTTTACGGGAGCCACAAGTGATCATAATCTGGGATATCAAAGGTCTCTTTGAAGGTCCTGCCAAAAGCTCCCTCGCCCCATCTCAATGTTTCGTACCTTGTCATTTGCCCAAAGAAGGCTGAGGTCAGGTATCATTCACGTTGGCCTCCAAGATTGAAGGTTGATACTGATATTCATGAAAGAACTGGTCAGGTCTCATTGTGATTGCACTCTTGAGTTTGCTTGTCTTGTTTTGACTGGCTAGGATTCTCAAACGTTCGCCCATGACAGTGGGAAAGGACGCGGTAAGATCTGAATGGTAAAATACGCCCTTAGCAACGCAGACTTTGGCTGCAGATTGTTCTCGACGCTGAGCCCAAGAATTGGCGGAAAACTTGCCACTACCTTGGCGACTTGCATCTTGCTGAGCCCCAACTCCAGCAACCACTCCACCGTGAGCTTCAAATTCTCCTCGACACTGTACCCAAGAGGTTGCGGTTTCACTGCCACTGCCTTTGCAACTTGCATCTTGCTGAGCCCTAACTCCAGCAACCACTCCACATGCTGTACCCAACAATTGGCGGAAAACTTGCCACTACCTTTGCAACTTGCATCTTGCTGAGCCCTAACTCCAGCAGCCACTTCACCGTGGGCTCCAAATTCTGCTCGATGCTGAGCCCAAGAAGTGGAGAAGCTGCCTTTGCAACCTGCCTTTTGTTCTGGTCCAAGTTCAGGAGCCAGTGTATTTTGGGGCTCAAGTTACCTTCAATAGATTGGCTGTGCAATTTGATGGCTTTCTTGATCAAACTGATGTCGGGCGGGCAAAAGCCTTCATTCTCGAGATACTCGACAACCTCCTCCCTTGAGTTCTTCCCCCCTAGTTTGGCTCCACTGCAAACTTGAGGCCATTGTCCGACAAGATCCCAGCTTCATTAAGCATCTGACCCCGAATTTGCTCCGAAACACTCGGGTGCAGGGCGTCTCCTAGTCCTAGCTTGCTCCTCATAATCTGCGCAATGACACTATGCAAAGTTGCTGCTAGCGAGGGCTCATCTCGTTGATGCCAAGCATCAACTCTGATCCATAGGATTTGCCAGGCAACAGTGTTTTGCTCACGGTGTGAGAGAGTCGGACAACAAATGATCCCGCAGGTGCATAAGTTAACAATGCTGCATTCTTCTTGTGATCCATTGCAATGCCTTCCTTTTCTCCATGCCTCCAATACCCGTCATATTCCACAAACAGCGCAGCTGTCCTATCTTTGAGAACCCCATACGCGGCCAAATCGGGCTCCACCGCATAAGAGCTCTCCGATGTCCGTTTGAGGCATCAGCAGAACCGCTAGCTGTGACAACAACTCCGCCTCTGCTTGACTCCCCGCTCTTCCCCTGGGCCAGCCTTTGGCCCACCACGACGGCACATAGGCCAACGGCAGGGCCAAGAACCAAAGGCCCAGAAGCGGACGCCGCATGTTTCGCATGCGTCCGCAATTGCAGTGGACTCGAGCTGGTGCCACTGGGTTGGCCACCCACTTCGAGCACGGTGGCTGCTGCTTGAACATCCTTTCCTGTATAGGGGGCACCCAAGAAGAAAACTCGATGATTTTGGATCTTTTGGAGGGGTCTCCGACCAGAAGTCTAGAAACTTGCTGCCCCATCGCAATAATGTCTGTGGCAAGGAATCTCTAAGTTCTACCATCTTCAAAAGGCACCTGTTCCACATGGGCTGCTAGATTCCCACAAACGTCCATAGCAAGGACCCAAACACCACAGGCCACTGGGGCATCCTCACGGAGACCACAGCGGCCGTCACCATCCCTGCGAAAAAGACAGATTCGGAGCAGTCGTGTTTCATGTCTGGGGAGGTTTAGGAACCGGGCTATTGATCATATACATGTTCCTGACTTTCTTGCTCTGGTGAACCATGGCTCTGCCTAAAGAAGTGTGGCGGAACTATGTACTATATATGCGTATATATTGAAGCTGAAGGTGCGTGATCACGTCACCTACATTAGCAAAAGACTGCATGGCTCAACACGGGTATTGTCAAGCGGATTTCTTGCGATCTTTCTATTGCCTGTGCACTCTTTTAGAAGAGACCGAAAGGACCTGATGCTGCATCCGGAGAACTTGACAAAGGTCAACATGGATGGCCACTAGGCACGGCAAACATAGTTTTGGGTCAGGTCTGTGTTGCAAATTAGTAATGTGAATGCTTATTAGTACATATAACTGACTTATATATATATACAGTATACATAACTGCCCAGAAAGTGTTTTCCACAAACACTGCAATGAATCAACACGCACGCATGCACACACTTTGTGCCTTCTTGAGCCCCTGCAACTACATGTGTGACGTCCATATGGGCAAAACCAATAAAACCGCAATTCGACCCGCGCCTGGGCTGCCCAAGACCTTAGGGCGGCCGTCCAGTCGGATGTGCTCTGTCAGCGGGGGACACGGAGATGAAATGAAATACAGTGGAACCCTTAGCCTAAAACTTGAATGACTTTTCTGAGCCAACCACCCCAAAACATATGTCATATATATATATATCCCCACAAACCGTATCGAAATTTGGTGAGCAAAATTTGCAACGCATTCTGAAGGTGTCGCAGGTGCACAACCAGACCAATGGATCTGGGGTCTTGAGTATTCATTGGAACGTTTGGTGTTCCCTCTCTCTGTCTTCCAACATGCGGCCTAGTCACAAGCCCTCGATGAACTGAGTCCTACATAGATAACAAACTCTTGCTTTGTGGAACACCAGGCCCACCAAACATCAGGCAACTTTCCTGAGGCATTCGCATAGGTCAAGAGCAACCGGAGGATGATGAAGAATGCGCTGATGCCCTGGCAAACAGTCGAACTTCTGGCGGCAGTTTCTTTTCAGTTTCCAGTTGGGATCTGTGGGGGTCCTGCATTAGGCCTTCTGTGTGCCCTGACCCAGGATCTTCCGTACACTTTTTGCGTCGGATGTTGATCGGTGGGTCGAAGAACCAAGAGGATCTTCACTCCGAGAAGCCAAATCCAACTCAATGTGGTACATATTTGTCTACATACATAGTAGCAAGAAGCTACTAGTAACAAGGGCATCGCTACTAGTAGCAAGAAGCTACTAGTAAGAAGGGCATTACATGATCATTTAGATCATTTAGCAAGCGTTAGACCTTTCAAAGCACACCTCCTCACAAACTGTTCACCCCTCTTTTGACAGCATGCACACGGCCCGCGCTCGGCAATTGTCGCTTGTCGCGATCGGCGGGAGAAGCACCGCCAGGCTGAGGCCCAAGAGCCGCAAACTTTGCTGGGTGGCATTGACCGTCTGCACAGCGTGGCGCGTGGTGCGTGGCCACGCAAGCAGGGCGTAGGGGGTGGCAGCCAAACAGGTGTTGGAGTTAGCAGGATTCGTCAAACCTCTTCGCAGCACGTTTCGTCACCCACGGTGTAGGGTGAGGTCAGTGGAAAAAACATTTGTTTACTTCTGGGATAGTAAGTGTGATGCTGCTCGGAGCTTTGAGGATGGTGGAAACACCTTGCTTAAGAAGTAACCGCACAATTGAGTTTTTCACCAGCTTGATCAAAAGTGAATCTGAATATATAGTCAGAACTTTAGATGACAGCCATCTCTCTCACGCTCGTTCTGTAAAAGTTGTGCTTTCCCAGCAAAACTTCCGGGCAGCAAACACCTTGCGATGACCCATCTGGCCTTGGTCATGACCTGATCGCTTGTGCGGAAATGTGTGCAGAGATGCAATAGTACGTCTAAGCTACACAAGGGGTCGTAGACTGGCAAGTAGAACTTATCTCAGTCAGTGGCAGCGAAAATATAGTTGCTAGCCCAACTTCCACCCCGCCTTTCAACTGGGTTTGCACATGCAAAGCACTAGGTCCAACTACTGGGTCTCAACAAGTCTCAAGATGTCTTGAAGATTTGCTGTCCTTCACATCGAGGCACTAAGGCCGCGACCAGGGCGATGGAAAAAGCGGCTGCAAAATGTGGGGATTGAGGGCTGATGATCTATGGATCTGCACAGCAGTTTTGGAGAACTTCTCGGATCATTGCCCTCTGTGTTTGTACTTGCCGTTTCCTGCTGGCTCGGCTGTTTTGCATTGACCAGAGATCGGCCCAAAAGATCTCCATGCATGAACCATGACCTGCCATGTCGCGGGCAGTGGGGGTCTTCTAATCACTACTCGCTGGTCCCCTCATGTGCTTGACCTGCGTAGGGGAATATGTTCAAACTCAGTTCCCTCCTAAACTATCAGGCCGGGTTTTCACAAACTTCTCTCTTTATTAGGCTTTGCAAAAAGAGTCCTGAAAGGCCCTCTGGTGCTGCATCATTCTTTGAAGGAACTGTTTTCTACCAACGAATTCTGAGCCCAAAAAGTCCACAGGCACGGTGCCGGCGCGAAGTAAAAACAGCACCAGCCATCAAACGAAGCGCACTTTCCTTATTTTCCTGGCACATCAGGGGGATTCAGGAGATCCGGATGGAGGTCCGACATCTGCCAACCATCGAGCTCAATCTCTCAACAAATATCAGGTCAACCCGAGACATCCCGACACCGTTTCACAAGCTTTTTGAGACCATTGAATAATGTGGATGACTCACCAAAGAACTAAGTTGTCTGATTTCTTCTTCCAATGGGTCTTCCAACATGTCTATTCGACTCTATTCCTTCCATTTTGATCTATTTTGGTTCTCTGCCGGTTTGTCTCAGAATAAGGCGAAGCTCCTTGGAAAGGACAGTCATTGCGGTTCAAACCTGTGTCTCTCCAGTTCTCAAAATGGCCAACGGTTCATCTGACACCCTCGCATCAAAAAGGTTTTGGGGGGTGCCCAGCTAAGACTATAGGCTCTTAGAGCGATTCAACTATTAAAAGGAGAAAACAAGCAAAACCAAAAAGTAACCACAAAAGAAACTCGTTCACCAGCCACGCGCGCCTGGGCCTCGGGAGCTCCTGGGGCGGAGAAAGTGAAACCAGCACCATGACTCCAGGGATGAAAGGGTCCCTGAAGGCAAAGGGTTTCGGGCATTCCAATGAAAGTCCGTCAAAACTCTTGTCACTGGCATGGAGTGGACCGGGGATTTAGCACAAATTCGGTATGCATATAGACAGCTAAAGAGTGACTATGTATGGGCTAGTGGTTCTATGAGGCAGCATTTGACATTAATGGATGTATCACCTAGCAACTTTTGATGTTTCATAGCTGTCTTCCATCTCATCTCATCTCATCTAATCCAATCACAACGTCACTCACCCTAGCCTTTTCGCCGCTGATCTCCCTCATGCTTCCTGCATACCAAATTCAAAAATCGTCGGCTCTCAGCGTAGTGCCACTGCGGAAATACATGATCCGCATACTGTCCAGTGGTCAATGCCTGACAATAATGTACCTTTTTGAACCCTGATGGCAGAAAAGCAGAGAGCCAAAGATTTCTGTGAACACCCTACAAATAGCGTTCACCGCCTAAAACTGCCTAGGCCTGGCAACAACAGAAGATTTCTACACTGGCCCAAGTTCATCTTTCCGAATTTACCAGGTGACAAGTCCCACCAAACAACAAGTGGAGATCAAAAACCGCTTTTTCATCCGGGATCCGAATTGATTCTGAGAAATCCTGGGCACCACTCCACCCTTTCTTTTGAAGTTGACACGTCAGTCATGAGCACTGAAAACAACCCAACCTGAACTTTGGCTCAAGAAACAAGTGCGGCAGCTTTTTGCTTTTGGTGTCGCACGCTCAGGTTATGAGCCCAACGCCGCCATGACATCGACCACTATGAGACGAAGGCGAGCGGCTGGCGAAAAGGCAGCGGCGGATGCACCGCCTGTGGTGATCGGCGAGGCTGATCGCCGCCTGGACGCGCTGATAGAAGAAGAGGTGAGGAGGTCACGCTCTGCAGATGCGGGGCCAAGGAGGGCATCCGAGGTGGAGGGCACTCCGAGGGGTCCGCCGAGTTCTTTTCGGCCACCTGTGGCTGGGTCATTGGAGCGCAACCCCAAAGCGCTGGAAGACGGTGGGGGTGTGGGGGCAGCAACGCTGAAGTCAGCGAAGACCAGCGAACCTGCGGGGGCACCTTCAACATCGACCAGTTCGGCGGTGGGTTTGGGGGCACTTCATGATGCGGTCCAACGAACTTATCATGTACTTCAACAAGCACTAGCGGGACAACCTCAAGGTCAGGGTCTACTCGCACCTCTTGGACCTGGCACTGATCTGGGAACTCGAGGAGGGCTTTTCGGTGATGGGAGTGGCGTGGTGAACCCGAGAGCCTTGGACTATGAGCCGGGGATGGGGCAAACACCGATTCGGTCACCCAACATCAATCCATTTTGGAGTTTAGGGGTTCAGGAGGCAGCGAGGAGAAATCTGGTGGAGGGAGGTCAACATGGAAGTGAAGGTCTTCATCCTGCTGGAGGTCATGCAGAAGCACGAACGTGCGGGAGTACTCCGGCGGCTGCTGGG